AAAATTGATTTTATTTTTCCTTTGGGTGAAATGGAAAAACTGGTGGGAGTTGAAGCAGGGTACTGGCCCTGTTAATTCTGAAGAGAGCAAGAGAGAAAGTGTTTCGCGTCATATCGTCCACCTCCAAACCAAGGATGACGATCCTGGAAGAAACGGACCGAAGAGCTGAGGAATGCTTGATGGACGGTGTCTGGGAGTGGAAAGAAAATATCCTCCTAGCCAAACGGACGATCAAAACCTGGAAATTGCCTGCGCCAGTAAAAATCACATCATCATCACTGAACGAAAGATCAAATTTATTTATTTATGTCTTGATTAGTACTGGTGAAGATGCGCTTTGTACAAAACAACATTTTATCCATCTACTTTGCACTCCAGTGACTTCAATCGTAACACTAAAAAACAAAAAACAGAAACGTAGTAATCGAAATCTGTAAACAAGGGCAGAATAAAGCAAAAGTTTGTATAACCGTTGAAATGTTGGTCTTCCATACAAGATGGGGCCGTTTTGACATCTTTCTTTGTATTAAGTTAATGAGGAGAGGGAGGGGGCGTTGATCTTTGTTTTGTCATCATTATGTAGTAAGCATAGTATGGAATCTCTTGTTTACTTCTCACAAAGTGGTATTCAATCTTTACCTCAAAAGGAAGAAAGGCGAAAGACTTAACCAGGTTCGGGAACTCTAGGATCTAAGTTCGACACTCTACGGATTGAACAATCCGATCAAATAAAGCTAATACCCGGCGTTAAAACAGCGGAGATAAATCAATAACTTGGTAGTTTGTTCTTATTTATTTTCATCGCTCGCCTTTACATAAAACTTTATTCACAGCTGAGCATTATTTTCAGTGTGATTGGAGCAAATGGAAGTTTCGTTACATCTCGAGACAACCATGCCGGCAGGCAAGAAGGAAGTGGAACGAAAGCAGATAGGCTATGGAAGATTTGTATTCGACTTGCTGGTCTGTCTTACATTTCGTGACGACACTGTTTCACTTCGCCATCAACCAAAATACATTACCGTTTCTTTAAGGCAAAAGCATGGGTGACCCTCCAGCGAATAATCCCCTATTTTTCTCACAGAGATACTTGCCTCCCGACCTTCAAAAGACGAGAGTGAGTCACGCAACGAAGATTCGAATTCGATACCATTCTGCCGATCATATCCTATCGCTATATCGACAGAGTCAGTGTCCACAGGTTCGTTCCTTTACCTACTTAAGTATCTCGTATGCGAAAAGAAGCACGTCAAAGTATTGGGAGTAACACCGAGGTTACAATGGTAAATGGCACTGAAATGCTCAGCAGTGATGCAACGTACCGACTTTCAAACATGCGTGCCTAATTTCACCTCTGGCCGAGAGTGCTACATGCTGACCGAAAGTAGACGATGGACAGAAGTGGCAGAAATGAAGTCCCTTCAACGAAACGTTGGTGTGATGAGATTCGACTTGCTTCAGAACAGCAGTTCCAGATACTGTCGACTATGTGTCTTTCTTTTCCCCGATCGAGAGACCATGATAATAGTGGTTTGTGTACGATGCGGCCTATTGGTTAGATACACCGGTCTGCTACTACAGTGGCTGACTATTTGATCAGCTAACGCTGAAATTCATAAACCTGAAGTAACGATATTAAGAACATACCGAAAGGAGTATGAAGGATACCCAAATTAGCAAACAAGGGCTTTCAAAGAACGAGTATATCATGGGCTCATGATTTTTTTTGAAAAGTCATTCTCTGAATACAGAAAGGAACCAAACAAGAGCCCTGAAAATGGCACCTTGGAGAAACAATCACTTATGGTACACAAATCGGTTTTAAGCAACTTAACGAGAATTTATTTAAACTACACCTTTTCGAACATGTCCATTAGGGCATCGAGTAATAACAGTGAAGTTAAAATAAGCAAAAAGTTAGTAACTATTTACCTTGGCCAGAATCTCTTACTGATCGATGAACGACAGCAAACAGCATCGTATTGATCAGCAAGCCACAGCAGCAATATCACATAAAACGCAGTGCTCGTATCGTTGAAGAACTCGGCCATTATGGCTTCCATACCTTAATTAACGAGATGCTCCAATTAACAGCTCAAAAAATACATACTGCAAACGACTGCCAACAAACATCAGCAAACTTTGATACTTTTCAAACTAGTAGATGTTCCTCAAAAAACTGTTATGGAGAACTAGGCATTGGTTTAAAATTACAGTTTCAAATAAATATGTTCAATATTACTATTGTTTTAACAGTTTTTTCTGGATTACAAAGTATGAGAGGACTTTGTGAATTCGATGCAAGATCCACGACGACGATCTTGCATTTCAAAGTAGCTAATCTTACGTGGGGTGGGTTAAACACTAGGCGGTCCACGAGGTCGTGGCTGTGCTGGGAACATTTAAATGGCGTTACTCTAATGCAACATTACGGTAAGATTGCAAACGCAGGGTAAAACAACAAAATGAAAACGCGACATCCTCCTGCCAACTCTTTGGATTTACATAGCGTAATGACTACGTCCCTTTGTTTCGAGTAGCCTAGACGATCGATTAAGCTGGTCACGGGTAAATCTAGCGAATCTACAGGAGAATTCAGTTCGAATAGAAAGAAACAGCCTTTCAATGATAACAGATACAGAACGAGAAGATCAAAAGCCTGAGAAAAAATATTTGTGATACTTTCTGAAACCACAATGGCGTTCTTTCTTAAGCATAAATTAATATGCTACAGAAACTGCATTATCGATATAATTTCTGTATTTTATTAATTTGCGCTGAAAAAGAACAACTCGTGAGTTCTGAAAGTTTCATTTATCAATTTCATTTAT